ACCTATATGTAGGCAGACAGACAGACAGTTTAGGTTGCTCCAAGTCTGATCCAGTTCAGAATATGCGTTTAGAACGAAATAAAAGACTAAATGTACTTAAGTTTATGAATTTTTTTCTGACAAATTTAGAAAATATTTAGAAGACGATTTGTCTGAGTCGATGTCATCCTTCCTTCAAGCGAGCAATGAATCTGGTTTTCGTGGACACCCTGTATGGTTTCCTTGTAATTTTCGGGACACCAGACAGAGTATCCACCAAAAACAGTTTTCACACACCCTGTATCTCAACTTTACCAACACCGGAGTTAAAAATCTGATTTACTATCTGGCTGAAAGATCCTGCACTATCTGGCTGAAAGACCCTGTACTATCTGGCTGAAAGATCCTGCACTATCTGGCTGAAAGACCCTGTACAATCTGGCTGAAAGATTCTGCACTATCTGGCTGAAAGACCCCGTACCATCTGGCTGAAAGATCCTGTACTATCTTGCTGAAAGACCCTCTACTATCTGGCTGAAAGATCCTGTACTATCTGGCCGGCTGAAAGATCCTCCAAAATCTGGCTGAAAGATCCTGCACTATCTGGCTGAAAGATCCTGTACTATCTGGCTGAAAGATTCTGCACTATCTGGCTGAAATATCCTGTACTATCTGGCTGAAAGATCCTCCAAAATCTGGCTGAAAGATCCTGCACTATCTGGCTAAAATATCCTCTACTATCTGGCTGAAAGATCCTGCACTATCTGGCTGAAAGATCCTGTACTATCTGGCTGAAAGATCCTCTAAATCTGACTGAAAGATCCTTCACTATCTGGCTGAAAGATCCTGCACTATCTGTCTGAAATATCCTGTACTATCTGGCTTAAAGACCCTGCACTATCTGGCTGAAAGACCCTGCACTATCTGGCTGAAAGATCCTGCACTATCTGGCTGAAAGATCCTCTACCATCTGGCTGAAAGATCCTGCACTATCTGGCTGAAAGATCCTTCACCATCAGGCTGAAAGATCCTGCACTACGTGGCAGTAAGACTCTGTACTATCTGACTGGAAGAACTTTCACTATCTGGCTGAAAGACCAAGCACCATCTGATTGAAAGATTCGATCTGTACTATCTGACTCAAAGACGTTGGACTAAAACACAAAAACGCTTGTGAACTTGTTAAAAGACTTCATAACTTTAATTTTATAAATCAAGTAATTTCTAGTTTAAAAACCAACATTATTAAAGTAAACCATTATTAGTTAAAAGCTAAACTTAGAAAATGTATGCTTGCTAGACACCCTGTTTTGTAAATGCCTGTAATTTACTTCCAATATTAGTAGTTTATGGCTAAACCATGAAACCTTTGTGATTACTAAACACCCTGTGTTAGAAATGCCCAGAATTCTCTCTGAAACCCTGTAAAATGCCAAAAATTATCCGTGACACCCTGTATATGAATATTTAGATATTCTAGACTAAAGTTTCATGCAGCTAAAGAACCAAATATTACTGCTAGGACCTGTTTTTGCCCCCACCCAATAAAAGCCTATTCAAAATTATTCGGATCTCAGAAATTCATGTAATTTGGACAAATTACGGGTGTTCCATAAATATAGTTTATTTTATTCAAAAATTTAGAAGTAGGCCAACTATTTCAAGGTACATTATCAGAAAAAAGGTAGCGGGGCTGGGGGGCGGGGGGGGGAGCTGGAAATAATTGGATCCCATATGTTAGAACAATCTACATATAAATACATGGTGTAAAAAAAGTTTGTTTCATGTTAAGAACAAATTTTACAATTTCCTTGGTTTTTTTTTAATGATTTTATTTGTTAAATTATCTTCGTTTGCTTTAATCCGTTCTAGATTCCTGGACATGGTTGAATGGTTTGCATGTGGCTTTAAATGCTTTTATACAATCTTTTAAAGCTCCGTGTGAAGTGAATAAAATACTAGTAGCCTGCCATATTGGCCATCAATGTCTATTTTTTATTGTGACATAAAACACAATTAAATGAATGAGTGAATTTAGAGCCAATTTTTCCAAGGAAATCTTGTCGAGCTAGCACGCAAATATTAACAATTCATTGTTTTTTTTTTTCTCCAGTTATTTTGAATACTAATAGTTAAACAACTTTTCTCAGAATAATGAGAGGGACTTTATCAGTGATTTTACCGAACCCTCCATTTAAAGAGTTGTATGTTTGTTTAAAAATGTACGATAAAGTCGATGTTCTAAAACGTGATAAATTACAAACATTTCTTTCACAACTAAAAATAATCAACTCTCTGAAGAAGTGTGGAATCATATCTTAAAATTAAACCTCATAAAGTGTAGAAAGTACCATAAGTCTGTGCAGGTAAACTGTGTGAACCTTGAAACCTTTTCCTGATTTAAATCCAACTTTTTATCGTTTAGAATTCAGTCCATTTAAACGCCTGGCCCTAAAATAGTTGGGATTTCTTGTATTATGTTTGTATTAAAATAAAAGCTTAAAGGGCAATTGTAATTTTTAAACCAAACTGAGCCTTTTTAGAATCTGTAATCCTTTGCAAATGTAATTTTGTGCTCTTAAAACGCTTTAGGGTTTACCTAATATCTTGCAGTTTTACCTAATATCTTGCAGTTTTACCTAATATCTTGCAGTTTTAGTTTTTTTTAAAAATTAATTTGTCATTCGGAAAACACCTTATATAACAGTTTGCTCATACTTCGAAATTTTGAACATTTTGCATGTGTGAAATTATAAACATGTTTCCAATTTTAATATTTAATAAAAATCTATTATGATTTATTAACCCTATTTGGCCTGGGGGGCTTCGTCTTTTTGCGATAACTTTGAGCTAGGAAGCTCAAATTTGCTCAAATTTCCTGGCTTTTCTAACTATTACATCCCCCTCACTTTAGGCTAAATGCTGGGTTTTTATACCTACTCAGCTACTCAGGCATACTGCCTAAATACCTTATTTTTACCTATACCAGACTTAATCTATATTTAGACCTACTTCCACTCATTGGATTTCAACATTTTCAATATACAGATTGCTTAATTTTTGCAAAGAAATTTTGCACAGATTTTTGCACAGACGCCTTTAAAGGGAATTAGCATATTTTCAGTTTTTCTTAAATTACACATATAGGTTAAACAAAATTTGCAAATGTTTTTGCTTATTTGAATTCGCTAGGTCAAGGGCTTTTTAATTTATTATATAATTTAATGTATAATTAGTTGCAATTTTTTTGTGCAAATTTTTTGCTTTATTTCTAGATTTCGCAATAAATATTTGGATTTTTGCAAATTTGACACTTTTTTGCAGATTATTAAAGTATAGTCCAAGGGTTTTCTAAAAACGTATCAAATGTTAAAGATATAAATAGAGGNACATGTCGCGACATACCAGAGATTGACTGCATAGTGCATACAAGGTTTTATTTCTTTGTTTTAAAGTTTAAGACAGCCGGATAATGATCTCCAGCCCATTTTCAACGTTTTTTATTTTTCCAGAAATGAATGACTGATAAAAAGTGTAGGATGAGTTAAGTTGCATGATTTTAACAAATAATTAAATGTTTAAATAAAAAGATGAAAACTACGGATTCCGTTGTACTACAACTAAATACACTTCAACAAAACAACGTAATTATACACGTCATATACTTCTTACAAGCATACTGTTCCATGCATGTTCATCATTCATTCAATCATATAAATATATATATATTTAATTATATACGTTATATACTTCTTACAAGCATACTGTTCCATGCATGTTCATCATTCATTCAATCATATAAATATTTATATTTAATTATACACGTTATATACTTCTTACAAGCATACTATTCCATGCATGTTCATCATTCATTCAAGCATATAAATATATATATTTAATTATACACGTTATATATTTCTTACAAGCATACTGATCCATGCATGTTCATCATTCATTCAATCATGTAAATATATATATTTAATTATACACGTTATATACTTCTTACAAGCATACTATTCCATGCATGTTCATCATTAATTCAAGCATATAAATATATATATTTAATTATACACGTTATATACTTCTTACAAGTATACTGTTCCATGCATGCTCATCATTCATTTATTTATAAAAATTAATATTCATTTTTTCTTCAACTTCGTGTTTTGAACTTTCAGTTGATTTAAGGAAATCAACTGTTTGATTGGATGAATAAATATATCTACATGAACTAAAAAATCCAACTCATGTGAAATATAAAATTATATCATAAAACTTGAAAATGTTCATAGAAGGGGGAAGGGGCCGGGGGGGATTACTATGTTTTTAGAAAAAGGAAATTGGAAAATATAAAAGAGTGAAAAAGTTGAGATTCTGATTATACAAGTACAATTAAACTCATGAAATCTGCTCAATAAACCGTCTTCAAGTGCTCTAATCAACTCATGAACAGCGTCTAATTACGCGTCCTAGAGTAAAGTTACGCATAAGGTGCCAAGAAATTTATTAGCGTCGTCTTTTTGTAGCGTGAGGATACACTTTGTTGTGTACGTGCTTTCATGCGAAATTTTACTGAAGGGGGGGGGGGCGGTAATAATCTTTTATTAGAACAAAAAAGGAAAAAGAGAGGAAGAAGAGTTTAAAACTTTTATTAAACCTGTTAAATAATCTATCATCAAACTATTTTACTCTTAACTATGTTCAAATAATGATCAAAAGACAATTGTTTATAAAGTCTAAGAATATAATATGTATAAAATATATTTGGGTTTCATTAATTAAATTTTCTTTTCTCATACTTAATTGTGCATAAAATCAAAATTAGAGGAGCTACGTGGTCACAAAATCGTAGTTGTAATATTGCATAAATTTAACCGAATTCTACTGTCTAGTTCACAGCAGCAGGACGAAAAAACCTAGTTCTTTAAAATCCCCCAGTTAACAAAACTAGAAATAACTATTCCTTAAGTTTTGTTTGCCGCCGAATTGTCCGTTGTCTGTACCCTGCTATATTTAGAATTGTATGCGAACACTGAGGGAGGAGTAGGCCTAGTTCATCTTAAAACCGCGAATTGGTTCAAGATTAGCTGGTGTGCAGCCAGACGGGGCGGGGCTAGAAGATCACGTGATCCACTGTTGCAAATCCTCTAATTGGATCCGGGATGAACGGAGTGGCGGTGAGAGGATTGCTGGCGGCGGCGCAGCTTGGTTTAGATTCACATTCAGATTCTAAACCTATGGATCTTAGTTCAGCTGGGTGTATGGGGGATCTATCAGGTATAGCCAGGATTATTAACGGTGTACACAATAACACTGTACAGTGTACATAGTTCAATGCACATATAGTTCAGTGTATCATAGTTCAGTGTACAAAATTCAGTGTACATATTTTAGTGTACAGAGTACATAGTTTCAGTGTACATAGTTCAGTTTACGTATAGTTTACATAGTTAATTGAACATAGTTCAGTGTACATAGTTCAGTGTACATAGTTCAGTGTACATAGTTCAGTGTAAATATTTCAGTGTACGTCGTTCAAAGTACATAGTTCACAGTGCATAGTTCACAGTACATATTTCACAGTACATAGTTCAATGTACATAGTGCAGTGTACATTGTACAGTAAATATATGAAGTGTGCAGTGTACATAGCTCAATGTTAACTGTTTAGACTACATATTTCAGTGCACATAGTTCAGTGTACAAAGTACAGTGTACGGTTTTTCTAAATGTATAATGAATTTAGTGAACATGATTAATATATACAATATACCGCTCTGATACATTCATGCCCTAACTACAAAAGTCAAATCTGTATCTTTTCAGCAGTTAACAAACATTTTGTGTTAACATTTGTTTGTTAAATTGTTAAGTATTTTGTTTTCTTTAGGAGTATTCTAACTGTTAAATTGTGCTTAATTAATTTGTTAAATTGTGCTTAATTTTTGTATTTCCTCTAGGTGTAACCCAACTATTAAATTGTGCTTAATTAATTTGTTAAATTGTGCTTAATTATTGTGTTTCCTCTAGGTGTAGCCCAACTACTATCCCGGAATATTTACGGTTTACCTAGACAAGGGCTGCAGGACCATCCACTTATAAATGCCAGGTACTGATATAAGTCTTGAGGTCAGCTTAAGTCATTTAGGTCATATTAGATAGTTTTAGGTCATTCACATCATCTTGGTTATCTTAGGTCGTCTTAAGGTCAGCTTAGGTCATGTAGGTCATCTTAGATCATAAAGGTAATCTGAGTTTATCTCAAGTCATCTTAGGTCATCTTGTAGTAAATGCTGTACTCTTAAAACTTGTCCAGAACTGTATCAGTCCAGGTACAACCTGTCCCCTATAAGAATCAAACAAAACACAATCCATATGGTTACGTCAACTATCTACGCCACTACCAATTGGGGCGATCACGTTAGCTATTGATGTTAATATGACACTAGCAATTAATTGATCAATGCCTCAAACAGGACACAATCCACAAAGCTATAATCCCATGAACTACTAACGCCACTACCAAGGGGGCGATTTTGTTAGCTCTAAATGCCACATTGGGACACAAGCTCTTAATTGATCTGTACCAAATACCGAGGTACAATCTCTTTAGCTTTAAATGTCACACAGGGACACAAGTGTAGCTATCAAAAAAGCTCATTCTCGATCCATACCAAATGCTGTGGTACAATCTCTTTAGCTCTAAATGTCACACAGGGACGTACACAAGCATCTCAGGTCATCTTAGGTCATCTCGAGTTTATTTTATGGTAATCTTTGGTCATCTTATGGTAAAATTATGGTCATTTTTTTATAGTCATTTCATTTTATCTTATGGTCATCTTCTTGTCATCTAATGATTAATCTGTGGTAATCTTTGGTCCCCTTTTGGTAATTTATTTCATTGTCATCTTTTGATCATTATTTAGTTATCTCAAGGCCATCTTACATCATTTTATGACCATCTGATGTTCATCTTGTGGTGATCTTGTGGTCATCTTATGGTTATCCTATTGTCATCTTAGGTTAATGTTATGGTCATATTATGGTCATCTTCTGGTCATCTTATGCTCACCTTGTGTTAATCTTATGGTCATCTTATGGTCATCATGTGTTAATCTTATGGTCATATTATGGTCACATTGTGGTCATCTTATGATCATCTTGTGTTAATCTTATGATCATCTTGTGTTAATCTTATGGTCATCTTATGGTCATCTTATGGTCATTTTATGATCAACTTATGGTCACATTGTGGTCATCTTAGGGTCATTTTATGGTCATTTTAAGGTCATTATATGGTCCTATTACGGTCACATTGTGGTCATCTTATGGTCATCTTATTGTCATATTATGGTCACATTGTGGTCACATTGTGGTCACATTGTGGTCACATTGTGGTCGTATTATGGTCAAATTGTGGTCATCTTATGGTCATCTTGTGGTCATATTATGTTGACATTGTGGTGATCTTAAATTAATCTTACTGTACTTTTGATGTCATCTTATGGTTTTCTTATGATCATCTTATTATGGCCATCTTATTGTCATATTTTGGTCATCACATTGTCATCTGTTATTCATCTTATAATCATATTATCTTATATTGCGCCTTTAATTTCTTTTTAATTTAGCCGTTTAGCTGAACTAGTTCGACAGCAGCATAGAGAAAGTGAAGAGAGAGAAAGAGGAGAAGGAAGAGGAGATTGGGAGCAAAGAAGAACTACCGGAGCCAGAGACTGGAACCAGGAGAATACAGAGAAGAACCAGGAGAACAAGGAGGAGTACCTACTCCAGGAGGAGGAGGAAGAGGACTCCAGACCTCTGGATCTGATCAAGGTCAAGGTGTCGGAACGAAGAGAGAGCTCCGATAGCTCCGGAGTTCGGAGGAAAAGCTGGAGTCCTGGTTCTCCGGCAGGTTCAACATCAGGCAGTGAGTCTGGGAACAGGGAGGTCAAACGTCGTCGGTTAGACGAACTTCTCACCAAGAAATTTGATAGAATAGGATCCAGAGAGGGTTCTTCTCATCCCTCATCTTCTCCGTCATCCTCCACTTCTCCGTCCTTCCACACAATATCCTCCGATCCTCTAACCAACTCACAAATGGAGAGAAGAAAGTCGCCGGAAACTTCTCCGAAGGTTCATCGGAGGAAGCAGACTCGACCCTCCAATCCTAATTCTCCGCAGTCTCAAACTAAACCAGATTCTCCGTTCTTCTCTCTGCCCCGACTTTTCTCTCCCGACTCTTCTCCTCCGTCCCTCTCTATCCGTCCTAACTCAGACCTTTTCCCCCCGATGGCAACCTCTTCTCCAAACAAGATGCCACGCCTGTCTTCACCAGTAAGGCGGGATGTCACACCTCCTACTACTCCTCCCCCAATCCGTCCTGTGAGTCCCGACAAGCTAGATGAGAATGATAACAATGAACTCTTGAAAACACAGATTCTTCAGGTAATCATTAGTTTTATGAAACTTATCTTACTCTGAACCTTTCACTGAGCAACGATATGGCGTAAAACTAGGTTTTTCAAAATAATCTTAAACATATTAAACAAATTAAATGGCCCACTTAAATCAAAGAAAAACATGAAAAATAATGCTCATTACAACAATTTTCTTCTTTTAGTAGGGGTAAGGCATGAAGAGCCCAAGGGGGGGGGGAGGAAGACGTTTTTGTTCCTATTTATAAAATGTTTTGAAGAGGATAGAAAGGGTCGGGGTTATGGCTTATTTGCTTCAAGATTGACAAGAAGGAAGTGTTCAGTTTTTGCGCTGGTTATACTTTCCACCTTTAGATCCGTTCACACAAATAATATAATGTCATGATATAAAATTATACATATTGAGAGCAATATTTGGCGTTGTGTGCGCTCTCGGTGCGCACTTCTCGGAATTCTCAAAGATTTAAGTTTAAACCGCGCGGCGCTATATCTGTGCACGGTATTCATGGTTGAAAATACTCAGCGCAGTAAATATACACGCTAAAACACTTTTTATTCCGATATCCGATCATGTAATATTTAGGAGGAAAATACAGGTTTTTAGAATCAATTCTTAAAACCTGATCCATTCATATTTATTGGATTTAGTTATAGTGATAGAGAATAGAATATATATTAGAGGGGAATTTACTAGGGAGTAAATTTAAGGGTTGTTTAGCTATTCCTTATTTAATTCTTTAAAACTATGAGAGATAAATTATGATGAACTTGCCAAAAAATTTTAAGTGTACAATTCACATCAATCAAATTTTGTTTATTTGGTTTAGTGACAAACTCTTTTATAAGAAGTCTTGAAACTATGGTATGTTTAGTAAAGCTCTGCTATGAATAGTCCTGAAACTATAATATGTTTAGTAAAGCTCTGCTATGAATAGTCCTGAAACTATAATATGTTTAGTAAAGCTCTGCTATGAATAGTCCCTGAAACTATAATATGTTTAGTTAAGCTTTGCAATGAATAGTCCCTGAAACTAAAATATATTTAGACGCAGTTAAGCTCTGCTATGAATAGTCCTGTAACTAAAATATGTTTAGATGCAGTTTAGCTCTGCTATGAATAGTCCTGAAACTATAATATGTTTAGCTGCAGTTAAGCTCTGCTATGAATAGTCCTAAAACTATAATATGTTTAGAGCAGTTAAGCTCTGCTATGAATAGTCCTGTAACTAAAATATGTTTAGATGCAGTTTAGCTCTGCTATGAATAGTCCTGAAACTATAATATGTTTAGCTGCAGTTAAGCTCTGCTATGAATAGTCCTGAAACTATAATATGTTTAGATGCAGTTAAGCTCTGCTATGAATAGTCCTAAAACTAGAATATGTTTAGACGCAGTTAAGCTCTGCTATGAATAGTCCTGAAACTATAATATGTTTAGATGCAGTTAAGCTCTGCTATGAATAGTCCTGAAACTCTGAAAACTCTGCAGTACAACCCTTTGCTTTACTACACCTACTATGCCCAGGTATGAGCACTGAGCCTAGAACTTAATACAGAAATCCAGTTTCATGAATGGGGTCAAGCTGTTTTGAAGATATTAATATTTGTATTAAGAAATATTATTTTTGCATTGACCCCAAAAAGTAAACTCGGGGGTTTCTTTCAAATCTACTCTTTTAATGGAAATATGTCTGTGTCACAAACTACGATTTTCTAATTTCTATATCTTTGCAACCCAATGCCGTAGATCTTAAATATTTTAAACTATGAATTCTGTAAGATTGCAAGATTGCAAGAATCTAGGTTTGAAAAATCAAAGGTTTACACCATCAGGTGGAAAAAATATAGGTATTCGAAAATCAAAGTTTGTTACAATTAGACTCAATTTCTTTCTGGCTCTGTACGTACTGCAAAGTATAAACGTACATGATTATTTTGTATTGTACACAAACAAACAGAATACGTACTCGTTTCAAACTATTATTTCCATTCCCTTTATCTTTGAAACCTAATGGTGTATATCTTTTATTTTTCAACCTCTTAATAATGTCTACAGCATCTCAAGATCTCAAGTAAGGAATTTACAACAATACAAAAATATCAAAAATCAAAGTTACAAACATAGGAAGACACAAGATACAAAAAGCCTTTGAAAAATATGTAACAACTAAATTATTTTAGATGTTGAGTAATCTACAAGCTCAACAAAAACTTCTCCAGTTCTCTTCCTCCATCCCTCCCCTTCCCTCTCCAACCCTCCCCTCCCCCACCCTTCCCTCCCCCTCCCAATCCAACAACAACGTGAAGGACTTCCTCTCCCTCGCCAGCCTAGTCGGGGCTAGGGATACCAAGGTAAATACATGTTTATATTTTATTATTCGACTTCATGATTTCAATTTTTTTGCGATAAAAACACGGATTTCTCCGCCATCGAAGAGAAGACAAAAGGTTTAAAGCGTTTTGTTGTAAATCGGACATACAACTCTTTGATGGTGGGTCCTTAATAATTGATTCTTTGATTAATTAATTGATTAATGATTAATCATTCAAATTGTGTAAAGATCAATCTGCGATAAATTTAAGAAAATTCTGACGATCACGTAATTATAATGGTTTGAATCTCTAACATTTTGAAATTCAACATTTTTCCTTTTTTTGTTATTATCTAGTTAAATGATAGCTAGACGAAAAATATAAAAGTGATCTGATTTCCCATTCCTTGACTTTGGATTTAAAACCCATGTCTGCCTGCATGCATTGCAGGCATTGAGGCAGGCAGCTGTCTTGGCATATCCGATGTTTGTCTATAATATAGTCCCAGGATGGCAGCAAAATTTTGAATTTGGCGCAAAAAATACAAGTTAATTCCTGGAGCTGGTAGACAGTATGACGGCGGGCTGGGAAAATGTTAAAATAAAACTGTAAAATTTGATATTGTGACATTATTTACAGGGCTGCTAGGGACAGGTACTAACATGATAACAAGTATTTCTAACGAGGAGAAGGGATATATTAATGAATGTGGTGATCGATCGTAAGACTTTTACAAGAAGAAGAGGTTAATGCCCCTTAGCATGAATAATTGCAAAGTTTAAACGTGGATCAAATCCGCGTAAATATGAAGGATCGAATTGAACCTATTACGAGCATGATATGCTCAAGATTTTAGAAATCTAAATATTCGGCAATTTCCTCACGCGCTTTTGGCGCATCTTCTTTGACAGCAAATAAATGCGCTAAATTATCATTTTCGCGACCCGGCGTGCATACATGCAATACAGAGGGCCGTGTAACTCAACAAGTCTTCCCTGATTTCCGGCGTACACACAAACACCACGGACACAAATATAAATGGGCAAAAAAGTACATTTTTGTTTATTTACCTAATCGGAAGCAAAATTTCAAAGTTTCCGCGCAATAATATTTTCTCCGAAACATGTCCTACAGATCTGGGGGATTTAATGGGTTCCGATTCTCTTAGCATGCAAACCCGTCTCCAGGATGTATATTTGAGTTTCTCAATTTGTGATGACATGGGTTCAAATTCATTCATTCTTAAACATATCATAATCATAATCCTGTCTTCAAACCTTGTTTTGCAAAGTTTTATTAGTTTTTATTTTTTCAAGCGAATAATTTAGAGAAACAATCTGAAATCAGTCTTTACAACAAATAAATTTTTTAGGTTTTGGAAATTGAATATTAAATTNATTACTTGCTCAGGCAAACCTTTTTCCATTTAAAGCAGTTTTTGCTTAACTCTATTGCCTTACATGGAACACTGATTCCATGCTCAGTAATTATCCATGCATTTAAACAATGCTACAATCTTCAACAATAATAATTTCATGAAAAATAAATGTAATTAAAATCAATTTTATATTTCCGAGGACTTTCAATATTTAATGATTCCGTCATGGAGTTCGCCAACTATTCTGCTAATTACTGGCTGGTGAATTAGAACTTCCACGTGCATGCAAAAATTTGCGATTTTACTGATAAGTTTTGTGCAAAAAGGGGGCGGGAACTTTGCCGGTACACTGTAATCAGGAATTATTATCAAACTATTTCAGAATTTTCGAAATTAATATTTCTTTTCACTTTTTTAAAATTATGATTTTTGCACAACTGCCTGAAAACGGAAGACGCTTGATTGCAAAACATTTATGACTAGATGTAGATCATTACTCAGACTTGAACAGGCAAGACAGGATGTAGGTTCAAAATTATTATTGAGAAATAAAACAATGACATTAATGAGGAAAGCATGAAATGCTGTTTGCGCAAGTTACGCCCCTTAGTACAAAACAATTTCAGATCTTTTTGATATTGCCATTAAATCCGCAATTTTTCTTTCAATTTCAACCAGCCTTGGGTGAAATGAGTTGCCGCAAAAAATAAGCTATGTTAAACCATTTTGACGTTTATTTGAAACAACTAAACATACAGCCAAATATTTTTAAAAATTAAGAAAAAGAATCACAAAATAACATGACAAAATGATCGAAGAATATATGAAGTATGGAGGGAGGATGTAAGCTGGAATAATGAAGCCTAATTTACCCCGAACACAGTACACGCACTCCTAAACATTATTGTTTTTATATTTTTATCCAAGCTCTATTATTTCGTGTGTTGATTAGGTTTTTGTCATTCCGCCCCGGCTATTTCAATGATTTTAAACCCGTTCTCATCATTTCAAAACTAGAAACTGTTTTTGTATCGGCCATTTTTATGTTTTTCTCGGGGATTCGTATTTTTTGCTCAGTTTATTTCGTGCGCGTTGGAAGATTTTCTGCGTGCATGAACGCGCCTAATTATCATGTCAGCTCTTGAGTGAAAAATCCAATTTCCGAACATACATATTCCTAAGCAGAGCTCTGAGAGTCGAATTAGTTTACTAGATTTCCCCGAAATATCCAGAAAATACAAATACCAGATTCAGGGCCCTCATGCACGCCATTTTCTTGGAAATTGATTTAGTATTTTCACATTTAAATCTTAGTTCATGGTGAGAGGGTGGGGGGGGGGGTAAAACACTTCAATGATTTTACAAAATAAAACAATATGTTTTAATATTCTCTTTATTTAGGATTCTGGTGGTTACAGATTTGATACACGATCACCAATGTCCAACGACTCCCCAACAAACTTCAAAGATTACGACGAGCCGAGAAAACGTGCACCGCGTGCGCTGACCGGAAGATACGTGCGCACAGGCACAGCTGCATCTCCGAAGGTTCTTCAGATACTTCGAAAGAAAATTGAAGAGAGGCTGAAATTAAAAGAACTTCTCGGAGACTCAAACCATCCATACTTCCAATCCTTCAATAAAAATTCGCATTTTAAGATTGGACAAAAATTTTAACTTTGTTTCGTTTATATAATTGTACATTTGTAACTATAAACTATGGCACAAATTTCCGTACCGAAACCGGCGGGAATTTTGTCTAAAAATGGCCGAATATCCAGTGAAATTTTAACCAGGCATTCCCGCGCTTTTATTTGAATTTTTCTTGTATTTATATTTCATATACAGTATTTCTTTATTATTCTTTCAATTTGTTGCATCCAGTGTTCATGTCAGAAAAAATGCCAAAAGTAATGGATCCAACCAATACAAATGATAATCTTTTTTCTTTGATAATAAACAAACTCAAATAAAATAGATATCTGTGATAATTAGATAAAACGTTCTCGCGTTTTATTGGTATTTTATCTTATTTTGATAAAATACGATTTTAGTGACAATTATTTAATTCTTCCCAGTTGTTTACATTTTCCCAGTTAAATAGAGTTATATATACATAACGTATTGTGTTATTTTTCGTTGTATAATGTTTCAGTCGACCATTTCAGACTGTGTATTTATAGAACAATTTTTTGCCAAATAAAATACGAAAAAAGTCTATATTTATCTATCTATCTATATAAATTTCTATTAAACGATTATATCTATTGAAAATATATTTCTTTCTCTCTGTTCTTTCTATACACATAAACTCAGGATGTTTTTTTGTCTAGTCCTGAAACTATAATATGTTTAGTAAAGCTCTGCTATGAATAGTCCTAAAACTATAATATGTTTAGTAAAGCTCTGCTATGACTAGTTATGAAACTATAATATGTTTAGTAAAGCTCTGCTATGAATAGTCCTAAAACTATAATATGTTTAGTAANGGGGCAGGTAAAAGATTGCAGTGTATGTATAATGTATATAGAGGGTACTGACCCTACCCTAAGGCTGGAATACTGTATTTGTTCTGAATGTCTTCTTCTTAATATTACTTACATTATTTAAACCATGCATATTAATTCTAAGATGAAGAATCAATGCAAATTCATAAATGATAAACAACTAAGTTCTTCTTTAAGATCTATCATCAATAGATAAAAAGATACAAATTGAGAAAATTGGATCAATGAAATATTCTATATAAGCATTAAATATTTGATTATTTGGTGGACTTTTCTCATTGTTGTTCCATCCGGAGTCAGTTAAAGAAATTGAGATTTAAAACAGTCGACCTTCCCTAAAATGATACAGGGTTACTTAGGAAGAGACCTTAAGGACATCAAAGCTTGACTTTTACAATAATGTTTGTTTTTTGAAAATCCCATCTTCTCTTAAAATCTGAGAAATTCTTTTCTTTTCTTGGAATCTTGAAATTTCATTCCTTGTTTTACAATTTTACAATTTTCTTCCTGGTTTTACAATATTGAAATTTCCTTACTCGTTTTACAACCTTAAACTTCCTTCCTGGTTTTACAATCTTGAAATTTCTTTCCTAGTTTTAAAATTTTGAAATTCCTTCCTTGTTTTACAATCTAGAAATTTCCTTCCTCGTTTTACAATCTTGAAATTCCTTCCTTGTTTTACAATCTTTAAATGTCCTTCATTGTTTTACAATCTTGAAATTCCTTCCTTGTTTTACAATCTTGAAATGTCCTTCATTGTTTTATAATCTTGAAATTCCTGCCTGGTTTTACAATCTTGAAGTGTCCTTCATTGTATTACAATCTTGAAATTCCTTCCTTGTTTTACAATCTTGAAATTCCTTCCTTGTTTTACAATCTTGAAATGTCCTCATTTTTTAACAATCTTGAAATTCCTTCCTGGTTTTACAATCTTGAAATGTCCTTAATCGTTTTACAATCTTGAAAATCCTCGTTTTACAATCTTGAAATTCCTCGTTTTAAAATCTGGTAATGTCCTTCTTCGTTTTACAATCTTGAAATTTCCTTCCTAGTTTTACAATCTTGAAATTCCTTCTTTGTTTTACAATCTTGAAATTCCTTCCTTGTTTTACAATCTTGAAATTCCTTCCTCGTTTTAAAATCTTGAAATTCCTTCATTGTTTAACAATCTTGAAATTCCTTTCTTGTTTTACAATCTCTAAATTCCTTCCTTGTTTTACAATCTTAAAATGTCCTTTATCGTTTTACAATCTTAAACTTCCTTCCTGGTTTTACAATCTTGAAATTTCTTTCCTCGTTTTACAATTTTGAAATTCCTTCCTTGTTTTACAATCTTGAAATGTCCTTCATTGTTTAACAATCTTGAAATTTCTTTCCTTGTTTTACAATCTTGAAATTCCTTCCTTGTTTTACAATCTGAAATTTCCTTCCTTGTTTTACAATCTTGAAATTTCTTTCCTCGTTTTACAACCTTGAAATTCCTTACTGGTTTTACAATCTTGAAATGTCCTTCATTGTTTTACAATCTTGAAATGCCTTCCTTGTCTTACAATCTTTAAATTTCCTTCCTCGTTATACAATCTTGAAATGTCCTTCATAGTTTTACAATCTTAAACTTCCTTCCTGGTTTTACAATCTTGAAATTTCTTTCCTCGTTTTAAAATTTTGAAATTCCTTCCTTGTTTTACAATCTGAAATTTCTTTCCTCGTTATACAACCTTGAAATTCCTTACTGGTTTTACAATCTTGAAATGTCCTTCATTGTTTTACAGTCTTGAAATTCCTTCCTTGTCTTACAATCCTTAAATTTCCTTCCTCGTTTTACAATCTTGAAGTTCTTTCCTGGTTTTACAATCTGAAAAATGTCGTTCATCGTTTCACAATCTTAAACTTCCTTCCTTGTTTTACAATTTTGAAATTTCCTTCTTTTCTAAACAATCTTGAAATTCCTTGTCTTACGATTTTGAAATTCCATCATCGTTTTAAATTTTAAAATTCCCTTCTTCGTTTTACAATCTTGAAATTCTTTTATCCTTTTCTATCCCCAATCTCCCACCGCGGTCTGTTTATACTTTAAACCATGAAATTTGCAACCATCTTCTCCGCCATTTTTTAACCCTCATTTCTCCACAGCTTGACGGGCAAAACATTCGCAATAATTTTTTCCTACGAAGTTGATTTGTTTAAATGAATTTTAGGAACTGGTGTGGACTTGTTGTCTAGTCTACACTAGACTGCTTGTCTCCCTTTGTCTGCATAAATATTTGGAAAGAAAACCGTGCCTAGTGCCTACACTCGACTTCGCAGAATAATTCGCGAGAATCTGTAAAAAATCCGCAAGACCGACTTTTTTCAAAAATCCCCTAATTCAAAATAAAAATATGTTTTCTATCTTTCTGGTCAAAAAAATATTTGTATATTTTTGATATGGTTGGTGTGTGGAAAACGGTCTGTGATACCAGGAACAGATAATTAGATGCAGTTCTTGTAGATTATTTCTTAGTCAAGATTTTTTTTGCTCTTTGTTCAAAATTTAAAATCTTTCATGAAATCGCTTTTTCCGTAGATTCGCAGCAATAATAGGATTGCAAAATATTTTCAAAACTTTATATAATAATAATAATAATAATAATATTAATAATAATAATAATAATAATAATAATAATAATATTGTTCAATATACTTTAATACAAGAAAAGATCAAAAAATAAAAACATGTACTTTGTACTTTTGGTTCTTAGCATATATGTTGAAAATATTAAAAAGATGAAAACACATGTCCAGCTTTTATTGCTATTGTTTTGGCAACATCCGTATTCTAAAAAAAATAAATTAGGAAGGATCAAATTTATGCGATATTACTAGCACGACTTTGTGACCAATTGTAGCTCACAATTATGCAAAAAGCAAGTTTATCCATTTACATATTATAAATTCAAAATATTTTTATTTTTCTTAAAGTTCTTAGAGTTATTTTAGGAAACATGTAAGAGATCAAGAAATATATATATATTTGTTGTAAGAGATAAATTTTGCGTGCAATGTACTTAAGTTTAATATGAAAACATCGGTATTTCAAAAATATCTTAAATCTTTAACTAACAACTTTATATATATCTATGAAAATGTATATAGATATCTTTATCTCCATATCTAGAATCTAGAAATTTATCATTGCAGGTTTCATCTTTGTATCTTTTTTATTTTAAGTTTCTGCATCAGGCACTGTTTACAATTTTGAAATTTCCTTCTTTTCTAAACAATCTTGAAATTCCGGGTAAAACACTTCAATGATTTTACAAAATAAAACAATATGTTTTAATATTCTCTTTATTTAGGATTCTGGTGGTTACAGATTTGATACACGATCTTCCTTCTTCCCTTCCCACCTCCTCTACCTCGTCTTTTTTCTTATTCAAGTATTTTCTTTATTTTTACCTTATTCCTTCGCCCTCCGTATTGGTGTTTCTTGCCCCCCCCCCAAAAAAAAATGGGTCATCAAGTTGAGGTGTGCGCGGAGATCTATATTTAGTTATTAATATAAGTATAGTAACATAACTTGCATAGCTAGGTTAACTGTCTTACTTCTCTTTACAAGACTAAGCATCTGTTAATGTTTGAATACTGATTTATATATCTTTACTTCGCAAGTGTGTCAGTACATAGGTATACAATTTCCTTTTTATATTCCTTTTATAAGAACTAAAACATGTCATCTATTTGTGTGAACATTCTGCATATTTTCTTTATTTGCATTAACTGTGCTTTATAAAATTAATCAATGCGCGTATTTACATAAATATATTTCATTTTTAACTTGATATCGATTTTTTTGTTTGAAGGAATAGAACAAATGAAAATTTTGCTGAATATATAAGACCAACTTTGTTACTTATGCATCATTCAATTTCAAAATATTTCACATCTATTTAGTCGCAACGCACACACCTATAGTCGCCATCCATCTTCTCATGTACTTTTGATTTTTTCTTCCTTTTTAATACTAGATTAACAATTAATTTAATTAATGCAAAATTTTAGATTCAAGTTTTATTACATTTCAACAATTAATCTCATTTTTATAAAAAAATTTTATTATTCAACTGCAGCAAATCATATAAAATTATTTACACCTAACTATTTTCTCTGTGAATTCGCAAAATATTTTCATGGTTGAGATATTTCATTTTGCAGCGCTTCTTTAATCAGATAGACAACTCATTACGCTTAACATTTTTTCTAATTTATTTGATATTTTATTGTTTTTTATTTTTAAATCTGTAATATGAGTGTACTAAGGCTAATCCTGTATCATACTGTGCCTTATAATAACCCTCTCAATACCACCCATAGAATTAAAGACCACTCCCTCCGTGTGAAAAATTTGAAATTTTGTTTGTTGGTTCCCATTTTTATCCAGACAATGTAAAGCAATGAAAGCGTTTATAAATACTGCTTTTAATAAACTTTAAACTAGAAAAAACAACTTCAAAAAGGAGCGCATAAGGGAGATGGGGAAGGGGGGGAAATATATGTTGTCACGGAATTATAACTTTAATGTTTAATTTAAGATACTGGGCTATCAGGCCGCTTCGCGCCCATCTTCTATTTCAGCTTTTAATTTTTGCTTAATCTTTTAACATTTTCTCTTTCTCGGGAAGTCCATCATAAGATTATTAACAAATTCAAAGTATCCTTAACTGCGTGCGCAGACTTTTACTACACTAAAGCTGTTATGAATTAACAAATTCTGAACACAACCGTTTGACCTCAGAATAAAATTAATACGGTTTATTAAGAAGTCAGGCCTTTTCCTTGTGCAGTAAAGGTTAAAAAAATACATTACCATAACACTCTTGTTTTGAATTTTTAATATATAGCAGGATAAATTTGCGTTTTCCATCCTTGGGCGTAGTATCATAACTAGAGGAGCTGCGAGGACGCAAAGTTATATTTGCAATGTTGCATAAATTTACCTTCTTCTTCTTGATGGAAGTAATCAATTACTTGGTAAGTATGTATACCACGCACCTCTCACCCTTTAGTAAAAGTAAATTCAACCTAAAGTCTGACCGCGTCAACCTTGTTGCACCGGCTAGTCCTATTGAGTGTCTGCTTTATATACCCAATGTCCGGGCGATACAGTACAAACTGGGACCGGAAAGGTTGACCCGGTTCGGAAATTCAAATGTACTAGGGCTGCCCCCGTGATACAGATTGAGGTATTGTAGATGTAGATCTGGATGAAAATGGTGGGTTCTACTAAATATATATTATCTATTTTCATGATCTGTATCTGATATTGATTTGATATTGATACACATTATTTCAATATTTTTGCATTCCTTTGAACTGAATAGTATTAGTGATCAACAAGTATTCTGTATTCTAGAAATATATATGTTTTGACAGGGCTACGATTCATGAGAAGTAAACATATATTTAGGTATAATAATAACAATAGAAGCCGACTGAGGAAGTGTATACATCCATACACTTTGAAGTCTAATTTTAGAAAAATACACGAAGAAAGAAGAAAATTTTAAATCTCAGGAATTTAGCGCCTGCATGTCGAGTTTTAAATGTACATTAGTAATACAAAAACCGGGAGGTCAAACATTACATAAACAGAGCTGAAAACTTTAGAATGGTGGATATCGAGATTAATGCGTGATCCTCTTTTTTTCTTAATATCGAGACTAATCTAATCTTGTACTTGTATCCTGAAAAGTGTATAAAATTCAACCAATCAGAGTCGCGTATATGAAGCCCGATAAATTTAAAATTTTGCGCGCCATTTATCATTAAATACAGAAATGGGAGGAACTCTCTTATTTAGAAAAACCGGGTTTGATTTTATTGTACTATATCCAAGAAAGTACGGTTTAAGAAGAAAATCAAAAGTGTGTACATTGGATACTCAGATTAAGTAATCGGGGATTATGGATCTCATTCTAAAGTTTTCAGCTCAGAACGAATAGAAACCGCTAGGTATAACAACAAGGCTTATTTTGCGGGAGAATATTTTTTATAATTTAGAGAAATGAAACTTTTGTAAAACATTGTAGCTTATAATCATCATTATTATTATTTTGGTTTTTACAACCAATCCTGATGGACATTATAGGTGCGAAATAGCTTATTGATTAATTATGTTATTAGTTTACATTATTACAGCAGCAAACTTTCTCTGGGACCCTAACGTACTGACAGCCCTGACAGTACGTTGTTATCACAAAACATACAAACAAGAAAAGGAACATTTCAGAAATATACCGTGCTTCCTAAAATAAAATAGACAGTGAATATAACTTCTTCTTAAAATACAGTGCTCCCCAAAATAAATTAGTCAAAAACCGTTTGTAAACTAGTGATGTTTTACAAATATACAACTTTAGAATAAGTTAAAACTTCGGAATAATGAGAAACACGCTGCAAATTAATGTTAATTTCACGTTAGGTTGAGATCTAACATGTTTTTAATCACAACCCTTTTTTTGAAGAGCTATTCAGAAAAATAATGAAGAGTTCATGTATCTAATTCGACCAAATAAATATGCTTCTCTCTTCGATGAGCTCATAATAAGAGATTACAAAGTGAAGCTAATTTTTTCATTTCATTTCTGACCTTCTTCTTAAATCTATAGTTTGGAAGGGAAATATTAAAGGAATAAAATGCTAATTAAATTGGTTGAGAAACGTCAAATTTTAAAAATGACATTGTGAATTAGATCTGTAAATAATTTGTTGAAAATCGCAACTAAATGAATATAAAGAAAACGAATAGATAATTTATTTTTTTAAATAATAAATGTGGGAGATGGGAAGAATTAATTAAAATAAGTTTTCAAGTTTAGAAAATGATCAAATGGAAGTGAAATAAAATGTGCCAAGGTATAGATTTATTTGTGGAGCTGAAAAAAAAGTTAAATTTGGTTATTTAATTCTAAATGTTCAAAACAAGTATTCCATTGACGTAGACTCCACTTAAACCCTAATGTTGAAAATATCAAATTAAAAAATATTAATTCTACATTTTAATATTTTGTAGAGTAAAGCCAAGTGTGATCTAAAACTCTGCTGCATGCACTGCTTTTAAAGGTCTTATAATATCCGCCCCCCCCCCCCCTACTTCACTCTTCACCATTATAAACCTGTGAAGTTTTCCCCCTATTAAAGTTGGGAAGTCAGGCAGTAGAATTCAGGCAGTCGTAGAGCCGACACATTAGACTCTACGGAGCAGAGTACTCTCTAAAGCAGTAAAATGCTTTGATTTTTAATAATTGTTTTAATCACTCAAGAAATTGTTCATCAAAATATGTTTAATATTTATTGAAAAGTTTAAATTAACAAAAAAAAATTTATATTCTTAGTAATTTTTTCGCTTATAAACTTTTTTTTAAAGTTGAAATCTACCATAGTTTTAAACTTATGTTTAAAAACTTTTAAATCTTTTTTGAAAGGGAGGGACCGGCAATGTATGGTAGTTGAACTAAGAATGTAGTTTTGTGGAGAAACTTTTTTAGGAATCATAAAGACGTTTTAATGATGTATAAATACTAAGTTTAAGTGCAAAGTCGACGTTCAAAATCATCTATTTGAATGGTTACGTATTGAGATCGATTTTTTTAAATTATTGAAGAACGACGACAAAAAAATCTACAGTAAACTATTTAGATGTTTAGGATAATATTTCTTAATCTTAATTTCTCAATAAATCAATGCTAGATTTGAATATTTCTTTTCATCATTATATTAAATTTCTTATTCATTATAAATTTGTTCGCAAATTTCTTCAAATTCTTCAAATTTCGTCTTTTCAATAAAAATTCCAGGGAATCTACAATAAATGTTTGTGAACAATGAAATATTACAGAAATCAATTACTGAATAAGATTACTAATTTTCGATGATAATAGTTATTTGTTATTTCTTTAACTTCTTCCTAAACAACGTACTAGTTTACTGTAAAATTTTTACACCATCTTACCTACCTAATTTTTTTTAATTAAAACATCTAAAATGATTATCTGGAATAACTTTGAGTTGTGAGATTTCATTTCCTAATGAAAGAGCCGGTATTATGAGCATTATTAAATTAAGATCGTAGAAGTTAAATTAATTGACCGATCCATTTATAGAGTGGCATGTCCGCTTTACAACGGTACCCTTTAAACCTTTGTCTAATCAAGGCTTGAAAAAGCTAACTTAATGCCATGGGTAGTACAGGGTGTCCCAATAAACATGGGAATTCAGTGACGAATTCGATATCGTCTTTTTAAATAATTCTTTGATTTAGTATAGTGATACCTACTAAGAAAGCTGTAATCTGTAAGAGTTTCGTCTGCTATGTTCACATTTTGTTTGTTTATATTTTGACTGCATAAGGTTGTACTTAGTGAAACAAGAAAATTACAGCTTATACAAACAGAGTTAACTGTCCGTTTTCATTGTTCATCTTGCGGAGACATTATAGACACATCTTTAAAGCCATTTACCCTTTTCATAAAATAAACTCTAGCAGACATAATAATATTATGGGTTTTGAAATTAGGTATTACAATGCTAACTCATAACAAAGACGATATCGAATTCGTCACTGAATTCCCATGTTTTTGGGACACCCTGTAGTATACCCTGTACACTCTTGTTTCTCAACACACAGGAATTTCCCGTTATCGACGATCACAGATTTAAAGAATACCGTTGTGAATCGGACATGCCAATTTATCAATGGACAGTCCCTTAAAATCTTTGCCTTTGAAAAAATTACATATTTGTATTTTACTCGCCCCCCCCCCCTGGATCATTAACCATGTGAATTTATATTTCCAGAATCCTAATAAACTTCATTGTGGCGATCACAGGAAGGAAAGGAATGGGGAGAAAAAAAATTTCTATCGCTCGGATTTCGGATGAACGAAACAGGAAACATGATTTTCGAAATAAAACCCGGGAAATTATTGGAATTCTTTAAATCCGCAATGTTTGCATGATTACCACGTGACACATTTAAAAATCATCTTTAAAAATTCTGAAACTAACGATATTTGTAGAAATGCAAATTTTCGCCGTGATTAAAGAAATTGAGTCTTTACCTCTTACTCTGATGTTCTTACCACTATATCTTCGCAACTTGATGGTGTAAACCTTTCATATTTCAAACTTAGATTATTAGATCTCACAGAATTGATAATTTGAAATATCTAAGGTCCACAGCATTGGGTTGCAAAATTGTAATGATTATAAAATTAGAGTTTGTGGCAAAGACTCAATTCCTTTGACAAATGCAACAGAATAAAAAGTATCATTCATCGATTAATTTTATTAGTTTAAAACCATAAACTACATTATGGTTCAATACTGCAATAAAATAATTGTTTTAACTGCAATAAATGCATTTTATTTGTGCAGGGTTCAATATGCAAAATGCATTCATCATTATAGACATTATAGGTCAAAAAGGACCTGTGAAAACTTGTTTTAAAACATTCGAGAAATAATTTTAAGATTTTCATACTGAAGCTAAAACAGGTTGGAATCTTATTTTATAGTTTCAAGAGTCAGTTTACACATTTACACACTGTATAGAATAAGAGATTCTAAATTTCTTTGAGAAGGATTAATATTATTAATTTAAAGATTTATTCACACACAAAGATATAAATACATATAAAAATGGTGTAGTTTAAATTTGTTTTAAAAATTTGAACATATAGTTTTACAAAAGAAAAAAGAAAAATATACAAATTATGCACAAATAGGCAACATTGATCATTATTCATTACTCATTACATATTTATCATTTCAGTTATTACGTAATCATCGAATCCTTCAACATAAAGATTATTCGTTCTTGTATAAAAAGATTCTTTTAAAACCGGAACTTTCCGTACATGGTCCAATGGGACATCAAAATATTTCTTTTGTTTCTTAACTAAGATTTTACTAAGATCAGAAAAATTTAAAGAACAATCATTTGCAATGGAAAATACATTTCTGCCAAGAACTGTGTTGAGGTCATTTTTGCATAAATTAGAAAGAAATCTAATGCAAAGCTTAGAACTTGCTTCAATAGTCTCATAGAAAGACACACATCTACTAGCTAACATAGTTTTTACATGTATAATACTTTCAATTAAGTACCAATGCGTAGCTCTATGTACATTAAAAAGAATTCTAATAGCAGTATTCCATGCTCTATCTATACAATTTTGAAACACATTCGGAACTCAAGTCCCAAATACTACAACTAACCATATTTATATAGTAATGCGCTAATTGTAATAACAAGCTTCGGTAGAATTTCCAGTGTAGTTAAACATTACTCCAATGTAATTCAAAAAAAACTTTTAATTTTTGTAAAGCAATATTCCTGTTATATAAAGAGACTGTTCACTGTATCTACACAAGCTGATGGTTTAAACCTTTTATATTTCAAACTTTGACTAAATGAATTATTATAAATCTGTGATTACAGGATGAAAAGATCTAAGAATTAGATAATCTCCATATCCAATTTAGGCACTTTTATATGCGAGAAACAATACTTGGTTCCAGATTCAAAACACATAAGTTCTGACTTATTATCTGTTTTACCTGACAATTATTACCCAGATAAATCGTCTCCTTACAGTAGAAAAGATTCTTGCTTTACAATGATTATAGTATGTCCTAAACCAAAGAAATATATTGCTTTTTGAAAATTGAAAATCGTGTCTAGGCAAGTTACATTTACAAAAAGAAAATTTGGACTCATGAAGAAAGCATACGAATTGAGGTAAATAGTATAATGTTTAGAATATAATATTAAAACTACACGAAGAGAATAATATGAATTAGACTAAAATTAATAAAAAAATCTTAATAAAACAAAACAAATACAGGGCGAGTCAAAAAAAAAGTGTGACTTGTGGCGACTGGTGCAAAATTGTACCTTGTTTAGGCAACTCTCCTGAATGGTGTTTTCCAATATTTTTTGAAAATTTGTATTTCTTTTTGGTACTCCAATGGCCAAAAAAAAAATCCGCGAAATAATAAGAAAATTCACAATTTTCAGTTCTGGTCTAATTTTTACGGAAAATTTGTTTTTCAATGGTTCTTAAGGTTTCAACTGAACAGTGTATATTAAATACTTTAGAATATACTAAAAAGAAAGGAACTAGAGAATTCAAATAACTTTTCGTTAAAAATTAGACCAGAACTAAAAATTGCGAATTTTCTTATAACAATTTTGCCAATTTTCTGTGATTCTGTGATTAAATCTTTTCAAAATTTTAGATTTCGATAGAAATAGTTTATATACACATTTTTAATTTTCTGAACTTTTGATTTTGAGAGAAAAAAAAGATTCGCGGATTTTTTTGGGCGATTGGAGTACCAAAAAAAATTACAAATTTTCAAAAATTATTGAAAAAACACCATACAGGACAGTTGCACAAAAAAAGGTACAAATTTGCACCAGGCGCCGCATATCACACTTTTTTTTAACTCACCCTGTACTTAAACCTTTTTTTTCTAGCGTACTCTGCGACTGTGAGATTGCAGTTATAATATTCAATTCACACAATAAACTATTCCAGGTAAGGCAACATACCTAACACAAATGAATTGAGTCTGGGTCCACATAATCAAATTTACTAATACCTTTATCTTTGTAAAATATTGACATTTAAAGTGAGTGACCGACTATGTAAGGTAGTTGAACTGAGTATGCAGTGATGTGGAAAGCTTCTTTCGGATTCATTTGAGACATATTAAACTTTTTAAAGATCTGTAAATCCTGAGTTTAAGCGCAAATTAGACGTTCAAAATTCCTACTTTGGGGTGGTATACGTTTTCAGAATATGTATCAAATATTGCTTAGGTATGCTGAATATGATCAAACTTTATTAATTTTGTTTTTAGTATGCTTCTACAGATATGAATCAAGTACTGCTCAAGTATACTGAATATGATCAACCTTTATTAATCTTGTTTTTTGTATGCTTCTACAGATATGGATCCAGTATTGCTCAAGTATACTGAATATGATCAATCTTTATTAATCTCGTTTTAGTATGCTTCTACAGATATGGATCAAGTATTGCTCAAGTATACTGAATATGATCAATCTTTATTAATCTCGTTTTAGTATGCTTCTACAGATATGGATCAAGTATTGCTCAAATATACTGAATATGATCAACCTCATGAATCTCAAAATAATTCAGATATTGTTGAAACTATACACAGGTATACTGTTTGCATTAACAATAAAGTTTTAAAAAAGTTGGAAATGGAAAATTACAATGAATCACCAAAAAACACTTTTAACAAAAATATATTTTTCTGTTTCAAAAGTAAAAACCTGAAGGGGAAAACCTATTTTTATAAATTTTGACAATTAGATCTAACAAAATTCAAAGCTATACTAAATAAAGTTGCAAATACTTGAGGAATTGAGGCGAATAATTAGTTTCTTTCTAATAACTTAAAGGGACTGTAAGCGTTATTTCAAATGACCCTCCAAGCAAAGATGACAATGCCCGATTTACAACGGTACTCTTGAAAGCTTTGTCTGATCATATATGAATTAGATATCAATATTTGTTTATGTACTGTAAATTTGCATTTGTGGTTTCTCTGCGAAAGTGACTTGCGCATTTCTTGTTTATAAGAAGCGAACAAGAAACTTACAGAACTAAACACTTTTGAGTCAGAAAAACGAAAGTATCTTCCACATTTTTGGATCAAATTAAGGTTTTAAGAGTACCGTTTTAAATAGACATCGCCATCTTATGAGCATTGAGCGTAACTTGAAATTAGGCGTACAGTCCCTTTAATCTAAATCAAATAGTTTTGGACGTTAAGAATAGACAAAATAAATGAAAAGTAAAATATTTTATCATTTTCTAGAAAGGGTTTAGCTGGCCCAGATTCTCCAGATCCTGATGAATCATTCTCATTCATTGATGATAACTCACCAAGGTTAGTTCAATCATTCTCATTCATAGACGATAACTCACCAAGGTTAGTTCAATCATTCTCATTCATAGACGATAACTCAATGAGGGTAGTTCAATAATTCTTATTTCTAGACGATAGCTCACCAAGGTTAGTTCAATCATTCTCATTTCTAGACGATAACTCACCGAGGTTAGTTTTATTATTCTCATTCATAGATGATAACTCACCGAGGTTAGTTTAATCATTCTCATTCAAAGACGATAACTCACTGAGGTTAGCTTAATCATTCTTTTTCATATACGATAACTCACCGAGGTTAGTCCAATTATTCTTATTCATAGACGATAACTCACCGAGGTTAGTCCAATTATTCTTATTCATAGACGATAACTCACCGAGGTTAGTCCAATTTTTCTCATTCATAGACGATAACTCACCCAGGTTAGTTCAATAATTCTCATTCATAGTTGATAACTCACCAGGTTAGTTCAATAATTCTCATTCATAGTTGATAACTCAGCGAGGTTAAATCAATCATTCTCATTCATAGACGATTACCCATCGAGGTGAGTTCAATCATTCTTATTTAGAGACGATAACTCACCAAGGTTAGTTGAATCATTCTCATTCATAGACGATAACTCACGAAGGGTTGTTAATACTGTAATTCTTGTAATCTCGAAAAAGGAATTAATCTTTTTTTTTTAAATCCAAAACCATTACAATCGAAAAAGTAAGACTGTCGATTACTTTTCACGTGAGCCACATTTTAAGAGGGGGATATCAAATTCACAATGGTACCCTCTAAACAATGTCATACTTCGTTTCTGTGCCAGAAATCAGCACGTCATCTTTATAGAAAACCCGTAATTAAAATTTTTTATAGAAATTGAAAATTTTCTAGTTTAAAAAAGAAAAACACGGTTATCAATCAAGGTTTAATGGTCTCATTGTGAATCGGGCATGGTATTTCTTTAATTAGGGGGTTAAATAATTTTACGGAGACGAGACATTAAGAGAGGGTAATAAATGAAAAAAACTTTGTCATTTTTTACTTTATCATGGGTTACTGAAAGGATGGTTATTGTTATTATATTAAAGATGAATCAATGAATGAGTTCATTTCTCCAGGGAAGAGTTTAGTTTGCATCGAAGTTTTCCCCCGTCTCTTTCTGGATACAAGTTTCCAAACCCTAGGATACTAGACATGCTTCCTCCGGGATACAATCCAGCCTCCAGAACCTCTCCGGGATACAATCCGTCCTCTAGAACCTCTCCGGGATACCATCCGTCTTCCAGAACTTCTCCAGCATACAATACGTCCTCTAGAACCTCTCCGGGATACAATCCGTCCTCTAGGACATCTCCAGGATTCAATCCGTCCTCTAGATCTTCTCCAACCAGAGACACATCTCCAGGACGGAGAACTCCACCCTCTCCTACTCCTCCCTCCATCCCCTCGTCCCTCCCTCTCAATATTTCTCATCATCCTCCTCAATCTAGAACAATAATATCCTCCTCACCCTCTTCTCTCTTCTCCGCTCCGTCCCTGTTCTCCAACCCATCTCTCTTCAACTCCTCCTTAAACCTTCACCATTCTCCTCTCCGTCCTGGTCATCCTCCGCCTGGGTTGAATATACCTACTCCAAGAATATCCGCCCCACTCTCCGCCCCTCCTCATCCATTCTCCGACCCGTTTTCCAGCCTACAGGATCTCAGGTAAACTTAACTTCAAATCAAAGGAACTGCAATTGACTCTCCAGTTTCAAAGTGGCATGTCAGATTTTAATGGTACCCGGCCGCATCTGATCATATAGTTGGAGGGTCAATTGAAATTAGGTCTAAAACGATTCCTTTAATATTTTAACATGAGCTGGGAACTTTAGAATGGTAGATATCGGGATTAATACTCGATCCACTCTTTTTCTTAATCTCGAGATTAAATAGCGCTTGATCTCCACTTGTTATTAATCTCAAGATTAATTAAAACATCGGGATTTCGGATATCCCATTCTAAAGTTCTCAGCTCAGAACAAATAACTTGATTCTTTCGTTACTCTTGAATTTTCCTTGAAAACAATCGGCTGAAAGTCAAAGTTCTAAAAAAAATGTTTTTATAAACACTATTACAGACTCTAATTTTTGTATACCCATATATATATATGTAACCTTATGTTATGAGCCTTTGATATTCATAATTAGAAAAACAATTTTCTGCGTCATTAATCTGCAGTGATTAGAAACTAGAATTTGTTTCTATAGTGTATGAGGTGTTTTCTAATGCAAACTTTGTTGCGATTCATATAATTCCAACTAAAACTTGAATATTTAGTGTAATAAGTATAAATTAGTAACTGCAATGATATTGTTTTAATCTTTTCTTCGAATCAAATTTAAATCTTGTGTAATTAGTGGCTTGCTCTTAATTAGACTGCAGCCTAGTGCAGTACTGGAGTAAACAGACATTAATCAGATATTTTCAAATTATATATATCTTGCTAAATTAACTATTAGACTGCAGCCTAGTGCAGTATTGGAGTACACAGACCTTAATTAGATATTTTCAAATTATATATATCTTGCTAAATTAACTATTAGACTGCAGCCTAGTGCAGTATTGGAGTACACAGACCTTAATCAGATATTTTCCAATTATATATCTTTTGCTAAATTAACTATTTGTTTCTTTCTAGATTGACACAAAACTCGTTCAGTCAATGGCTCCAACATCAGCAGGTAAAATAGTTATAGGAATTATACAGAGCTATCCACACAATAGATGTTGCAATAGATGAGACTTTTCAGACGACTGTACGGAATATATACTGTCTGTTTCCTTACATTAATATTCAAGGCAGAGGTCTTAAATTACCCGATTGAAATCGTCAAATTTTGAAAGTTTTCAGTCGTCTTTACAGTCTCATTCTATGTGGGTAACCTAGTATATATAAATGTAAGAAGTTTTCTTGTAACTTGCATATTCTGGTTTTATTTTGTCACAATACTCCTCTTAAAATGCATTTGTCTTGTGTTTCATGGTGAGAATGGACAAAAGGAATATATTCTGATAATCTTTTCATTTACAAACAATGTATAAATTGTAGCTTTCATTGATTTCAATTTGAAATAACGTTTCCCGTTCATATATATTCTTGAATGGATCCTGTAAACCTGCAATATATTTAGAATTTCGTATTTGTTAAAGCGAACTATTCCGGGAAAAAATGTATACTTTAAAGCTTTTATACAAGATAAAGAAAAATATAAAATTATAAAATATTTGTCATTTTATAATAATCCTTTTTCGTTTTTAGAATTCGAATGTGAAACCAGAACCGGCATCACCACGCCAAGATTTTTCAAAACAGGATTTCATCTCCTGATTCTAATACATTTAATACACTGTCCATAACATATATGATTAACTCTAAAATTTTGAAAAATTCAATCTTTTAAAATTTTTGTTTATTCCACAAAATTTATATATATTTAAAGCCATGTGCAATCCATTATGATTTGGGACACTCTATATATTAGACCCATTTTTTTACAGAAGCTCTTAATAGACCTGGGTGCCATCTCATTTTTTCTGTAATATCTACTGGATCGATTGATTAATAGTATCTATTCTTTTAAACTTTCCATCTTTTTTCGTCTCCTTTCGTCTTCTTTCGTCTTCTTTCGTGTCATTCAGTATCTTCTATTGTTCTTCTTCTTCAGTTTAGTATACTAGGCGTTTTAGGGCGCTTTGCCCATCTTCTATTTAAATTGTGAACATGTTCTCTCTGTTTACATTTAAAAACAAAGAAGAAAATTTTTTTGCAGAGTTAAAAAAAAATTCACGGATTTTCAAGAATTTAATTTTTTACAAAATTAAAAACCTTTAAAACACATTTTTTATATTTTTATCATTCATAAACTTTCCCTGTGGTCACGTGATTTCCAAAAAAAAATTGGGCCCGATCGGTTCAGCCGTTTTGACTTTTATTGGATACAAACAGACAAACAAACAGACAAGCCAAATTTATATATATATGTGCCGTTTTATGTGCCTACATCTTACATGCCTTTATATAAATATATCAATCTTTGTTAATTGTAAATAATCTTTATGCATATTTGTAAATGCTTTTTAATGATATTTATATTTTTAGTCCCATGTCGTGTTTCCTAAAAGTCATAATTCTAGTTTTAATGTTAAAGTAGATACCCATAGTAATGTATTGTGCAGTGCATAAAAGTACTTTATAGAATGCATCAAACCTCGTTGTATTCGTATTGTATGTATTCTTTCATAGTTCAAGTAAAAATATCATGTTGCGTGTATTTACTCACGCGCTTTTAAAAGCAGTAGACCAAAGATATTTGAAGTTTTTAGATTCTTGAAATATAATAATACTCATATTTTTGCAAGTTTCGGGAAGCTGAACGAAACATTGAACAGTAGCGTAGATCAGAGAGATTTTAGAGAATGTAAAACTAGGATTACTAAGAATTAGCAATTTAAAGGAAGTGTTCGCGAAAAATGAAAGGGGGTATAGGCTTACGGCGAAAAATAATCGCTTTTGATCGCTACCAATGTTACTTCTACCTGTTGCGTCTATAAGGAGAACATTATTAAAACGACTTATACTGAAGAACATAAAAATTCAGAAAGTTGCAATATACGACTAGTATCGTAAAATAATCAATTTAATTTCAAACAAATCATTTAGTCATCGATTATTTGTCGACGCATTCATATATAGTTAATATTTTATAATTTTTCCCCGTAAGCCTAAACTCCCTTTCATTTTCGCGAATACCCCCTTTAAAACATCGTTTTTATCGAGTGTTGCATTGTTTGTTTCTTCTAAATCTATTTATATAAACAAGCAACAGAGTTAAAGGGAGTGATACAAATAATGTAAGGGTTGATAATGGTTGCATGGTTTATATAAATTGTCTCTATAAGGATATCTAAAACCCATTCAAACATGGATTGGATTCTTTTAAGCCCTAAGTTATCAGTTATAAGTGAATTTGTGAGGTAAAACCAAAGCCATGGCGTTGCGAAACTTTGATGTCGAGGCTTTCTAAAAAATTATTCTGAATATTTTTTATACAAATGGAATATCCGTCTGCAAAGCATCAATAATCATATGGTTGGGCGGGCCGTGTATCTCCCTTTTATTCCATACACCTTGGTACCCATGGATTTCTTTAAGAAAGAAATGAGTCTTGTAACAAACTCTAATTTTCTAATACCTATATTTGTCCACCTGATGGTGTAAACCTTTGATATTTCAAACTTAGATTTTTTTCATCTAACAGAATTCATAGTTTGAAATATCTAAAATCTACGGCATTGGATTTAAAAGATATAGAGATTAGAAAATCATATTTTGTGACAAAGACTCAATTCCATTCAGCCAATTTGGTTCTGCTGTTTCGCCAACTACAGCGGATATATAAATAAACGAAGAGCTTTATTATGTAGATTGTGGATGCATGTAATTGCAGTTAAAAAATTAACACATTTATAACCCTTTGTTTGAATTCTCACGGTATCCACCCTTAGATGCAAATGCAGATGTTGGTTATACTGCCTGTTTCATGCAGGTTGCATCTTATTAGACTGTGCAAATTAGTTCGTTTAAATTATACAATGAGAACCAGAAAACTGTGGAATAGAAAGACGACTTTAAGACTTATTTTATGAATTTAAAGAATACAATGAACATCAAACACAGCCATAATGCAGTATTAACTCTATTCAGGCGTTTACCCAAAATAGTCTGGGATACCCCCGCCTCTATTTCCTTATTGTGATACAAATCTATAACATTTAATACAGTCTTGGAAAGCCCTTGGGTTAATCTTTAATAATCTGCTAAAAAAAAAGCAAATTTTCAAATATTTATTACAATATAAAGTTATTAAGCAAAAAAGTTCGCGACATATGATAAATTATACATTTTCAAAAAGTCCATACCACGGCACGGCGAATTCAAATATGCAAAATTATTTGTAAAGCTTTCAAAAACTAAATTTGAATTCAATGAAAACTGAAAATGTGCAAAATCTCTTTAAGGCATCTCTGCAAAAAAAACTATGCAAACATGTTAACTATTCTTCAAAACTTTCAAAAGAGCTTAAAGAAAGTTGAATTCCAATGACTGGAATTAGGTTTAAATATAGATTTAGTTGGGTAAAGATAAAAAAGGCATTCAGGCAGTATGCCTGAGGATATAAATTCAGGATTCAGGCAGTAGATATAAAAGTCCCGCTTTGAGCCTAAAGTGAGGGACATGTCTTAGTTTGAAAAGTCAACAAATTCGAGCTTCCTACCTAGAATACTTCCTAGCTAGAATACTTCCTAGCTAGAATACTTCCTACCTAGAATACTTCCTACCTAGAATACTTCCTAGCTAGAATACTTCCTAGCTAGAATACTTCCTAGCTAGAATACTTCCTAGCTAGAATACTTCCTAGCTAGAATACTTCCTAGCTAGAATACTTCCTAGCTAGAATACTTCCTAGCTAGAATACTTCCTAGCTAGAATACTTCCTAGCTAGAATACTTCCTAGNTTAATCTAATTGATTTCAAATTTTCTTTCATTTCTTTTCAATTTAGCCGTTTAGCTGAACTAGTTCGACAGCAGCATAGAGAAAGTGAAGAGAGAGAGAGAGGAAAAGGAAGAGGAGATTGGGAGCAAAAAAGAACTACCGGAGTCAGAGACTGGAACCAGGAGAACAAGAAGGAGTACCTACTCCAGGTGGAGTAGGTAGAGGACTCCAGACCTCTGGATCTGATCAAGGTCAAGGTGTCGGAAAGAAGAGAGAGCTCCGATAGCTCCGGAGTTCGGAGAAAAAGCTGGAGTCCTAGTTCTCCAGCAGGTTCAACATCAGGCAGTGAGGACAAAGCCTCAGACCAATACAAACAAAAAACGTTAGGGTGGGGTCCAAAGGCCCGCCCCCCCCTCCCTCCTGCAGCTGGAATAGGGTTAAATTAGTAAGTGATTTCATTGCTTTGTAACAACTCTCATCACAATTAACCAACTTATTCAGTTTTCTGATTCCATCGTTTTTTGATTCTCACTGTATTCTGTATTCTATCAAAAGAGATAGAAAGAAGGAGATACAGAAAAGAGATACAAAAAAGAGAAACAGAAAAGAGATACAGAAAAGAGATACAGAAAACGAATTAAAATTTAAAAGTTTTAAAAATTTATATTATTTTTAAATGTATCATAAAATATATTTCTAGTTTAAATGTTTCCGGATTAAATTCCTAGGTTAGATACAGTGATAAATGCATTCCGAGGCGACTGACACAGCTTTATAGACTGCATGATTAGGAGGGGGGGGGGAGTAACAAGGGAAAAGGGAGGAGGGTAATAAATGATACTTTGATAAACCAAAAGATTGTCATGGTCGTAAATGGCGTTGATATTATAGAACATCATGAGATAATACTAACAGCTTATCTGCAGTAAATGTGGAATAGGAAGACGACATTAAAGCAATACTAAAGTGCATTATATGCTGTTTCAAAGCAAATAGCTTTACTAGTATGTTATTAAATAACTTATTAAGTGAAATGGGTCTGTTTACATTTCACTGTACTAAAATAATCAAGCTCTTAATACCTAAGGGAAGAAGGTTTATTGTCGAATGTCAGCCTAGAAAAAATTCCAATTTTAATTTTCTTTGTTTAAAAAATCCATCCATGTAAACTGATAAAATCTACAAAAGTTTTATTTTTACCATTTTTATCAGAAAAGGACAAAATAAAATTCGTGTAAATTTGCTTTCGTTTTGGCTAAAAACAAATTGCAAGTTCAAAAGTACTTGGAGTCAAATTTTATAAAAACTCAATGTATGGAACAAAAGTAGTTGTACACTGTCCATATGTTGTAAGCTTTATCTATATAATAAAACAAGACATTCATATATATGTTGCGTATTGCCGGCCAAACGGCTGATATTTTTTGTGAACACTCATGAGTGGCCGTGAGTGTCAAAATAAAAATCAAAATTTTTTTCACTTTCAAAAAAGTCATAAGAGAAAAATGAATAAAGATTTGCTTTACTCTTTGCTTAATTATAAATGATTAAATTTTCCAACGATTTATTTTATTTATTTACCTTATGAATAAGGTTTATATTTGTACTAGTGTGAGTAACAATATATAACAAGAAATTTCTAGAATTATTCAAATATTTAAAGAATATTTTAAAAGTATTGTGTGACTGAAGTGTAATCGTAAATCGAATAAAACTCTTTTGATCGAAATAAATTATTACTGTTTGTTAGAAATCAAGTAGCAATAAATTATATGCTACGAGGTATAGCAAATAGAGGGGGCAGGGCAAGAAATAACTATCTCTTAGTTAGTCTCTGATCTCTGTACAATTCATCCCATGGGTTTATTTTATTTAAAATCAAAATTTTTATCATAATCACTCTATCAGTTGTTGAATAAAGGTATAATTCGTCCTAAATGGCACAATGCCCTCGAGGCCTTTCAGTTTTAAAATGCCTGGAATAATCAAATTTGCGAAACTGTCAATCAATTAAAATACATTTTAAGAATATTTGAAGTTGGAGAAGTTGATTTTAAAATTGAAATTTAAGATTTTTTTCATAGAAGTAAAACAAACATATTTTTCACAATATTACAAAGATTTTTGTTATTAGTTTCTTCATACAACTATATCTGCCC